TGGTGGCTTGCTTTCTCACCTTTTCTTTCTTTCTCTGTGTCTCTCTCTCTGGTCACATTAAAAATGAATGAATAAAGTTAAGCAAATAATTCTTTTTAAAAAGAGAGAGGTTTTTGCTATAGGGCCTATGCACTTGCTCGGGATAGACAGAAAACAAGAAATCACGCCCCGGGGGGATGGCCATGCTGCAACCCCTTCTCCTCCATTCTCCTCTTGGGGTTTTGAGCACGCTTGTACACGCACTCAGCACGAGTTTTAAGCTGCCAGGTCCAGGACTCAAACCGTGGTCGACTACATGGGAGTCCAGCAATGTGACCATTATGCCATCTGCTGGTCCCTTGTGACACATTTTTGCATAGAAAAGTACATCATGACTTTTTCGACAACCTAATAAAAAAGTTAAGTAACTTGTCCAAAGCAAGTGACTGCCTGAACTCAAATCCAGGCCTAACATCAGAGGGAAAGTAGATTGACTTCAACAGAAATTCAGATATATATGAAGGTCAATTGAGAAGCTAATACGTCAGCCAACTATGAAGAAAAGCTTCACTTTCAAACCCAAATATTAACAAAGTCTGAAAACACAATTTAAAGCAAAATAACCTGCCTTAAGAAGTGGGAAGCTGGTGGGAACCAGCAGTTGGCGTAATGGCTATGTCGCTGGACTCCCACGTAGTCGACTGTGGTTCACGTCCCGGACCCAGTGGCTTAAAACTCATGCCGGGCGCGTGTGCGTGCGTGCCCAAGATCCCAAGAGGAGAATGGAAGAGAAGGGATTGCGGCGTGACCATCCCCCCTGGGGGGTGATTTCTTGCTTTCTGTCTCTATGTCTCTCTCTGTCTGTCTGGCGAGCGCACGCGCCCTATAGCGAAAACCTCTCCAAAAAAAAAAAAAAGAAGTGGGAAAGCTGGTGATACCAGGATCACCCCATCACTGCACTTTCTCTTTCTCTCTTTACTTTTCCCTAATTTTCCATCTTTTTTTCCCCTTTATCCCTCCCCTTCACACTTGCTTTTTTCACCATAAACTAGTAAAGAATATGAACTTTGCATTCAGATCACCCTGTGTTCAAATCCAGAACTCACTTCCTAGTGTGTGACTTTGATAGATGACATAACCTCTCTAAAATTGAATTTCATAAACTATAAAAGAGGAATAAAATCTACCTTTCATGATAACAAAGGTATTAAATCAGATATGTATAAAGAGGCATCAGGTCACTAGTAGGTTAAATGTTTTTGTTTTTGTTTTTTTTGGGGGGGAGGTTTTTGCTATAGGGCACGTACATTCATCAGAAAGACAGAAAGAGACAGAGAGACCGAAAGCAAGAAATTCCCCCCCATGGGGGAAGGCCATGCTGCAATCCCTTCTTCTCCATTCTCCTCTCGGGATCTTGGGCACACATGCACACGCTGCCAGGGTGGGTGAGTTTAAGCAACCGGGTCCAGGACTTAAACCATGGTTGGCTACATGGGAGTCCAGCGACATAGCCACTACACCAACTGCTGGTCCCTGTTTTTTTAACTTTGAGAGTCAGTGAGATTTAGTGGAAATGGAATACAATTTATGGTTGAACAGTCTTGGGTTTGAATTCCTTCTCTACCACTTACTAGCTACGTGATTTAGAGCAAGTCTTGTCACCTTTCTGTGCCTCAGCTTTTTTATCAATAAAATTGATTAAATAATATAAATTTAATAAAAAGGAAATGAAATGGCAAACAATGGGATCTGGACTTCAGTAAGTATTTAATAAATAATATTAAAGCTGCCCCTTGGTAGAATTTGCATTAGGTGACTTGTCCTCCAGGGGTCCGTGGTTGTTGACACCTGATCTATTTACTCAGGCATGTCACTACTATTAACCAGAAAGTGCCAAAGCACTAAGGAATTTTCACCTTGAATATATCTTTTAAGGCTGTAAAATGTAAAATGAGGTAAAAATCATACAATAAAGAAGCATGGGTCCAGTCCTGCTTAGGCAGTAACTACCTGTACAAACCCGTATAAGTTACGTGGCTATATATGCAATATGAGGGGGCTGGCCTAGGTTAGTAGGCAATGTCTGGAGATAGTTTTCTTTTTAAAAGTGTATTTATTTTATTCATTATAGAGAACACACGTGTATATCCACAAGAGAGAGGGAGATAAGCATCCTTAACAGGGCTTAGTCATGCCACAGTCCTCTTTCCCCAGCCCTTCGGCCCATCAGGATCTTGGGCATGTGCACATATGCCTGGTTATGTTTCAAGTCAACCAGAGCAGGAATCTGAACTTGCAGTCAGTCATGTGACGTCCAGCAATGCAGTTTAAGTACCCTACTGACTGCACCGTGGAGGCTGGGTCTGGAAACTTTTTTTTTAAAAAAAAAAGAGATTTTTGCCTTAAGGCACGTGCACTCACTGGAGAGAGAGAGAGACAAGACAGGCAAAGACAGCAAGAGGAAAAGTGAGAGATTGTCCCCCAAGGGGATGACCACATTGCAATTCCTTCTCCTCCATTCTCCTCCAGAGATCTTGGACATGCACACACATGCACCTGATGTGAGTTTCAGGCCACCAAGTCCAGGAATTGAACTGTGGTCAGCCATGTGAGAGTCTAGTACAGTATTTTTGGTTGCGATTGCTTTTCCCTTAACACTTTGAATATATTTTCCCATCATTTCCTCACTTACATTGTTTCCGATGAGAGATCCGCTGTCAGCCTGATGTGATATCCTTCAAATTAACTTGATGTTTCTCTCTTGCCAATCTTTGTACCTTGTCTTTGTCTGTGGTTTTGGTCAATCTGGTTATAATGTGTCTTGGAAAAGATCTTCTTGGGTTGATTCTATTGGGGTTCCTTTATATTTATTGGGACTGGATCTTTGAATGCCTCTCTAGGTTTGGAAAGTTTTCTTCCAGGATTTCATGGAATAGATTGTCTCTTCCCCTTCTGGGATACCAATAATCCAGATGTTTTGACATTTGATAGTATATAGTATTTCTTATAGATTATTCCCATTTTGGGGGCAATTTTCTCAGTCCTTGTGGTAGATTTTACTAGGCCAGCAATTCTTTTTTTTTTTTTTTTTTCAATTATCAGCTCATAAAGTTTTTAACAATAGGGAACATAGATTCTATTCAGGGTTGGATTAAGGGTGGGTCTCGTGCAGTTCTGCAATTGTAGGTGAGTCTCCATGGAATACAGTTTTAGGAAAGCGGTTCTGGTAAGCAGAGATGATTATCAGTTGATGCGGCACAGCAGCCATCTTGTGATTACCAGGAATGGTGTTGTGGGGATCTGCAGCGTGAGTTATCCTCGGGTATCTGGCTTCCTTAAGAATGGGCCTACACATACCTATACACATTTCTCAAAATCATAGAACTATACACAGTACACTGAAAGGATGAATTTTACTGTATCTAAATTATACTTCAATAAGACCAATCCTTGCCCCCAAATGTAATCACAAATGCTGTGAAGAGGATTAACTGGATAACATCTAAATTCTTTCCATCTCAAGTCCTAAGACTTTATAACATTCTGCCTCTCTTCTGCCTGGGTGCCTCAGAATCACAGTGATTTAGGTTAAGTCTGGGCTCCAATTCCTGTGCTAAAGCAATGAGGCTGTCTGACTGCATCATGTGGACAGGAGTCTTCCCACCATCCTGGGGCCTCTGGCCCTACTCTAGCCTGTGATTCAGGTTTTCTTCTTTCTCTCTCTTATTCTGACTCCTCTTGAGATTGTTGAGGGACTCAGACAATAAACACTCTAAAATAAGCCTCAGGAGACACTGGCTTTATCTCTCTACACAGGCTTCCTGTCTGGATCCCTTTTGATCTTTCCACTGAATTTCAAATCAGGCAACTGAGAATCACATTTATGAATTCTCTTTATTGGCCTTGTGAGCTTCCACTAAGTTATTTTTATATAATTAAATCATATAAATGTAAAATATGAGACTCACAGCAGGTTTAAACTCCGACTCAATACTATCTGTGTGGCGTTTTGCAAGTGGCGGCGAGAGCAGAGAGGTGCCATGAAGGCCTCGGGCACACTCTGGGAGTACAAGATGGTGGGGCGCTGCCTGCCCACCACCAAGTGCAGGACGCCGCCCCTCTCCCGCATCGCACCTTCGCCCCGAACCACGTGGTCGCCAAGTCCCGCTTCTAGTACTTGGTGTCTCAGCTAAAGAAGAAGTCGCCCGGGTAGATTGTCTATCGCGGGCAGGTGTTTGAGAAGTCCCCGCTGCCGGTGACTGTCCTATGACTCCCGCAGCGGCACGCACATGTACTGCGAATACCGGGCCCTCACCACGGCCGGCGCTGTCACCCAGTGCTACCGTGATGTGGGCGCCCAGTACGGCGCCCGCGCCCACTCCATCCAGATCGTGAAGGTGGAGGAGATCGCGGTCAGCAAGTGCCGCCCGGCCCGCAGTCATGCAGTTCCAGGACTCCAAGATCAAGTTCCTGCTGCCCCACCCGGTCCTGCAGCGCCAGCACAAGCCTCGTTTCACCACCAAAAGGCCTGACATCCTCTTCTAGTCCCAGGGCCCCCAGGGGCGACCCAAATAAATTCCGACCAGCCAAAAAAAAAAAAAGAAAAAAAGAACACAAACAGGGACCAGCAGTCAGTGTAATGGCTATGCCGCTGGACTCTCATGTAGTCGACCGCGGTTTGAGTCCCGGACCAGCGGCATAAAATCACACCGTGCGCGTGTGCGTGCGAGCCCAAAATCCCGAGAGGAGAATGAAGGACAAGGATTGCAGCGTGGCCATCCCCGCTGGGGGGTCATTTCTCGCTTTCTGTCTCTCTGGCAAGCGCACACGCCCTATAGTAAAAACCTCTCCAAAAAAAAAAAGGAAAAAGAAACCCACAAACAAACAAAAATACTATGTGTTTATGTATACATATGTGTACATACACACACACACACACACAAAGGAACTTCTGTGTGTATGTATACATATGTGTACATACCCACACACACACAAAGGAACTTCAAAAAATTGGTAGAAAATGGAATTAAGAGTACAAGTTTATTTTTGGCACAAGAAATTTTTAAATGCATAGTTTTTCATAATACACATTTTCCATGAAGTTTTTGAAAACCCCTGGAATAGCTATAGTTGTATTTTTTCAATTATTTCATTTAATTAAATTATTATTATTATTCAATTTGACGAGAGAGAGAGAGAAAGCAAGCTGCCAGGTATGGGGCTTGAACTGTGGTCAATCATGTGGGAGTCTAGAACCTTAGCCACCACGCCACCTGCTGGCCCCCAGAGCGATAGTCATTTTAACAAACACACTCCTTCCAAGATTATTCATTTATCAAATTTACACAAAGTAGTTCATTCTTCTCACATACAGAATAGCCATATGTCATGGTCAGGAAGGTCTAAAACATCATAAATCTCACACTTTTTAATAGAGAGACACTGTCTGCCCAAGTGCAGTGGCACAGTAGTAGCACAATCCCCTGCAATGCTGGAAACCATGTAGAAGATCAGGTTTCAGTTTCCAGGCTGACAAGAACATAGACGTACCCTCATGATCCTGAGGGGCTGAGAAAATCTGTGGGGAAGGATCATAGTGAGAGAACCTATTGAGAGTGTCTTTCTCTGTCTCCCTCTTGGGAAATAAATAAACAAGCAAACTGTTAAAAAAAAAAAAAAAAACCAGACTACTATCTTCTATCCCATAAATGCAATCACAACTGCTTATAGGAGCCCCATCGTCTCTTAAGAATCAGTTCCTTTCTTGGCTCTTCTTGGAGGATCTCCTGAAACGGTTACAAATATCAGTAACTAGATACCTCACATACTTGAGTTGAGTGCTGGGATAAAAACCAAGGGCCATAAGACAAGCTTCAACCTGCCAGTGTCCTCATATATTCCAAAAGACAGAGAGGACTTAGTAGGGGCCAGGTAAAGTTCATACTATTCTTTTCTATTGAGCATCTACAGCACACTGGGACAGCAAGGTGAGATGCTCATATTATAACAGAAAGGGCCCACCAATACAACAGTGTTTCCCCATGATCCATCAGAAGGGATGAATGGACAACAGTGGTCTAGGGTCTAGTTTCCCCATGATCCATCAGAAGGGATGAATGAGAGAACTGCATTTCCACAGTTTAAACCTACCCAATCACCTTCAGAAGTGCGCTTCGGCAGAAAATCAGTATTGTCTCCTTTGACTCAGTCAGACTTGCTAATGTTGTCCCTTTGGCATAATTAGAAAATGTTTCACAAAAGACTAAAATACTTTGCAAAGACATATTTTGACTCTATTCAAAGATACACAGATTGATAGAAAGTGGTTGTCCAGGATGCCCCCAAAATATTTCCACTTTCAATGGTATCTCCAAGGACATATTCCTACAGTCTTCTTTTCTTCTCTTATACATGTATGATACTAAGTTGTGAAAAGCCAAATAAATTATTTTTCTAACTTTAAGAATGGACTTTCATAGAGTGGGTACTGGGGTGCTGCCAACATGAGGGCTAGCATCCATGGTCATAGAAGTGAATGAGGTAAGGCTTGCTGGCCATCGGGGAGACTGACTGCAAACCACAGCAATGCTTCACAGAAACAAAGAAGTCCTGTGGACTCACTAGCGAGACCTTCTGCTGCCTTCGAAACTTGAGAGAGCTCAGCAAAAATACAAGACAGAGGAAGGGTGTCCAACAGGCTCAGCGGATCCTCTCAAACCTCAGAAAGCAGATCAATAGAGTCCACCTCATACATACGTTTAAGCTGGCTATGTAGCTGTTGAGCCCTTCATATTCTGCCTAGGAGCATATGGACAATCCTAACACTCAAAGAAGATACTAGCCTCCAGGATTCCCAGTTCCTTCTGCTCATACAAGACCAAGTTTGAAGTGAGCCCACTCACTGACACAGGAACAGAATACTACGTAAACTAACTTGTGCCCACCTAAATCATGCTGAGCACCATGTTTAAATGGACACTAGCCAACCTCTATGCCCCAAGCAAGTAGTCTTTTTCCACCTTTGTTCTTTCTGAAACTGATGCCTCTTGGTACCATTTCTCAAACCAAAAGATCATTAATCTTCAACCAAAATGTTATATGTAAGAAATAGCCAAGGCCCAGATTCCATGTTAATTTCCCAGTAGTTATCCAGTTATGAAGTACTGAGGAAATACACAATGAGATTTCTACATTCTTTTTATCCTATCAAGGAAATCATTACTTTAACAGGGCACTGGTTTCTTGATGTATGACAGTTTCTTCCTTTTTTTTATAGAGAGGTGTTTGCTATAGGACGCGTACTCTCACCAGATAGAGACGGAGAGACAGAAAGCGAGAAATCACCCCCTGGAGGGATGGCCACACTGCAATCCCTTCTCCTCCATTCTCCTCTCGGGATCTTGGGCACGTACGCACACACGCCCAGTGTGAGTTTAAGCCACCAGGTCTAGAATTCGAACTGCGGTCGACTACGTGGGAGTCTAGCGACATAGCCATTACGCTAACTGCTGGTCCCTGAACCATGATAACCTTGAAAAGCATCTTTACAATAAACATTTTAAAGAAAAATAAAGAACTAAAGAGAGTGAAGGAAAAAATGACAAATGACATTACCACATCCTGAGATGCAAACTGGGGATCTTCTGGGTTGACTGACCAGTAGCAGTAATCAAAACCGAATGCCACAACCTTCTCCCGGGAGTCCCCAAAGCGATCTGGTCGACTGTCCACCTGAAAACAAATATAGGATCCCATGTCTTCTCTACAATAGTAGTGAAATCTTGCCAGTGGCATTTAATCACTCTATTCTAAAGCTAGAGAGACCTAGATTGATCATGAGAATGTTTATATCTATTTGGGGAAAAAAAAAAAAGTAACCTTTGTCTTCATCTCATGAAATACAAACAAAGCCCCAGAGAACTAAATGTGCCTATTACGGTATCCATTATCTGTCTACACATGAACCAACCATATGAGACATAGGACAGCCTGGGAGAGAAAGCCTCCTCCTCTCTGGTCATCTTCCTATCACTGTCATTTCTTCTCCAAGTATTTCTGCAGAAGATACTGGGAATGCATGAGTAGTTCAGCCCCTGGGGCAGGCTCCAATCACTGACGTCCCTGGAGTATCCATCCCTGGTGAATTAGAAACCATGTTAGGAGCAATCAACTGCTCAAGGTAGAGAAAAAGCTTAGGGCTGGAAAGAATGGCATTATTCTCAGAAATGTTTTGTATTACTATTTTAAATTTAGAATCTGGACATAGAAAGACAGACTTGGCCCTCGCCATCATAAACTACAGAAGAATGAGGCTGTCAGAATGACTAAGAGATTCTTGATGAATACCTGATCACAGGGAACTTAAGAGCCACAAAGGTGTGCAGTTTAAAATTTGATCTTGTTCAAGATTTATACTTAAGAACCAAAAACATGAGTTCTCAGAACAAAGCAGCTGAAGTGATTAGACAACAGAGATACACAGAGTCAACAGAGAATAAAAGGCCCTTTGTCCCAGGGGAACTCCTGCT